AAAGTAACAAATACAGCTAGCAAACTTTGTATTATTTTCATTTATATATATCATTACATTTGAAGTTTTATATTATGCTATAAAACATTACTAGAAATATTTGTATAAGATATATAATTATTTTAAACACTCTTTTTTAAATTTAAGGTGCATCAACTTTTTCATCCAAGTATAGGTACAAAATTATAGTTTGAAGAAAAAAAAATATTATTAAAGGTATCTAATACGCATGCATGTTGTACGATTGATTAGTATAAATTTATTTTAAATCATTACATGATACAATCAAAATTGAAAAAGAATAAACAAACAATTACATTTCGTGATAAATGTATCATATTTTTGTATTATATTTTCAAAGTTTATTGAGCTTTTTTACGATGTAGAAATCGTATGTGAGTTGAATGATACGATACGACAAATTGATAAATTGAGTCAACGGAAGGCTCGAAAAGAATCCTTAAGATCCTGTCGTCGCACTGCGAGCGGTAGTATCGCCCCTTTCGCCTAGCATTGGAACGGGCCGAATTGCCCGAGGGTTGAAAGAACGCGAGGCGCGATGGTCGACGACTCCCTCAGGAAGCAGCAACACCTAAATTAACCGTGGAATCCCGGGGTGTGCTGCGGCGGCAACTCGCGGTGTGGCGCCTCGAGCTAGTACGTTCTCTCGCAAATTGGGGAATCAGAACTCTCCCGATCCGTCTCCGACTCTCTCACGTTTTCCTGAGCGCTAGAAAGGACGGAAGAGAGAGAGAGAGGAGAATAGGTGAAATTTCCGCGAGGAAGCTTGACGAGTTTAGGGCGTGTTTACGCCTCGGGAGACGGCTTGACGAGACCACCTAGTGGACAGTATACAAATAAGGACAATTAATGTCTGATGATGTATACTGTTCTCCGCACGCTTTTCAGTCTTGCTGGTTCGCTACAATGTAAACTATATACGTAGTTTGCGATTTTGATGTTTTATAATTGTTTGGAGAACAAGTTGTAGAAAACAATCTATTTCACTTTTTCCACTGCATGTTGAATAACGCATTGATTGTTTGATGGAAATTAATTATTCATAGTTTTTTATGTTTGATTTGTCATTTAACAGATGCTTTTTTACTTACGATTAGTTTAGCTTTCCTTTAATAGAGAAACTAATACTATCGAAGCGCTTCGACAAAGATAGAGTAGAACGACGCATTAGCAATAATACAGCTCTTGAATTCAACTCTGTAATTTCTTTCGTAACATTCAGCGGAACTTAGGTAAGGAATAATAGATCGGATGGAGTACAAAGGACGCGGGATTGATTGAATTGTAAGAAGTAGCTGTAATACTTAATAACTTATCGGGATGAATGGGGGTTATAGCGGGAATCAAAATGGAGCTGGACGATGTGATCGAAGGGACGTAAAGTACAAAGGGGAGAAAAAAGAAGGCGCGAGTGTCGGTGGAGGCGCTCTCTGTATCTTTCGATTCAGAGAGCTCTCTCCTCTCGATTTGAAGAAATGGGAATCCAATTTGGAAGCCGGGATAGAAGACGAGTCTCGCCAGGGGACACTAAACACCCCATTGTCGGGGAAGCGACTGGGTGGTACTTAAACCCACCAACCATCACTACCCCACCTTTTTCCCCTCATCATCCCTCTTCGAGCTACTCGCGTCGCTACCTCAACATGCGTGTATTTATTTGTGACAAAGAGGGATGAAAAAACGGGAACTAAGAAGACCAGAAAGCTTCTCGCGTACCTTCGCACGGGAAAGAGCTTTACTGAGAAATCGCCGTCTCGCGCCGTTGAACGCGCAAGGGTGGAAGAAGAAGCGACCGCGAAGAATGTTCCCTCGAGTTCGTAAAGGGTGTCTGAACATTTTTCGGCGAGACGGAGCTTTCGAATGAAACCATAAAGAATTTCACCAAAATTTTGCTTTATTAAAATATTTGTTTAAAATATATGTAGTTTATTTTTTTTCTGCTTTAGTTTGATAATAGAGACTCCCTTTATTCGCATACATTTTTCAACAGAAAATTAATTTTAAAAATATTTAATTTGCAAATTTTTCGCGAAGGAGACTTCACGGCAGAAAATATTATAGTTAACAAAATCTTATTCTTTAAGCAATTTTAATTTTCATTTAAAACAAAGCCAGCATTTTTTGAAATTTATAGAGAAAAAGTGGATAGAGTGGGTGAAACACGAAGAAGCGGAAAGACGAAAAGATAAAAAAAGAACACGAATACCCGTCATTCGCATTCAAGCGTCAAGTTTTCCTAAACTGACTCCAACGCGCAAACAGAGCTTGCAAGACTCTTTGTTCTAAAACCGTGGATTTATGCGTACTTCACGTTCCGTACAGGATTTATTCTCTCCGTTTTATACACAGCTGGACACCGTAAAAATACACGTATAGGCTTGTAAAAGCAGTAGAAAAAGATGGCACAAAACTCGCATAAAATAGGATCGAGATAAATTCAGAGATAAATGGAAATGTTACAAGGGTATAAAATGTGTTTACAGAATTACAAAAACCATATAAGTTATAATAAAATGGAAAGAGTAAGTGTGTAAAAAAAAGACAGGTAATCACATGCAAAAGTCAGCACGAATTAGATGCGTAAAGATGTTTGCACAATCGAGAAAAGGACGAGCTAATCTCTTGATTTCCCCAAAATTGTTTCTACGTAATTTTGATCGTAAAAAGCGAGTGTATCAAGCATGTAGGAATTCTACGACGAACGTTTTACGTCGCGAAGGGTTTTACAGAGACTCCTTCAACTCGTAAAGACAAATTAGGCAATACGATTTTCCGTCGTGCTCCATTGCGCGCAACGGTGATATTTTCTCGGAGAAAAATACTCTGTGCAAGATACTGATTTCGAGAAGTAGATGCGATATATCGTTGGTTTAACAATGGTGAAACTCTTTAAATGGTAAACATCAATGTGCGAATCACAAAAATGGCACTTTACAATTAATTATTAAAAAATCATTATCTTTTCAGTTATTATATTATATACTACATATTTTTCAAGACTAAACTATTTCTATGAAATAATTCTCGAGACTATCATTCTTCTATTATACCTATTCTTACGTAATATTTTATCATCTAATAATAAAATTAAATAATAAAAATCTTTCCTCAATGGTAAAAGTCGACCAAACTGGCAATCGTTTATTATAAATAATTAGTTAAAATACAACGTTTCGGCTGTCATTGCAGCCCTTTTCAAGTAAATCTATAAAAAGTTACATAAAAATAATTATAATTTTAATACATTTTATCGCAACAAATAATTATAAATTCATATACAAAATTATGTTACATACCAAACGTAAATACATAATAAATTATTACAGTAAATCAAATTAATTGCATACTACCGACAATATTCACCATTGTTTTAATGAACAATGTAAAATTGACAGAAGTAAGCAAGAAATGAATAAATGTTAACAGTTAGCAAGAATCTTAGTCACTATGTTAAAAAAATCGAGACAAAACTGCATATATATAGCATACCTAGCCAAATAATAAGAACTAAAATATAACGATAAAAGTAACAGCTAATTCATTACCGTTACTGTAAAAGTGTAACGACGTTACCATTCTCGTTACAGACAAAAAAATAACAACCATAAAAAACTCTAACGGCATTACAAGTAACGCGTTACTTCTCAACTCTGGTATATACATATTCAAATCAATAACAAAATAAAATTCTAAAAACCAAATTGATTATTATTTTATTAATTTGCAGTATCATGCCTTTCCTTATAATGCCTCTCTGTCGCGTCTGATCATAATTAATACAGCTTTCAACTGTAAACAAAATTGCAAGACGTAGAAATAGAATTAATTTTAATTGAAAATTTTATTTTTATTGTTATATATCTGTGACTAAAGATAAATGAGCTTTAAATATCTTTCATGATACATCATTATCTTCACTTAAATAATGGCAATACATTTAAAGGATATTTGAATAATTAAAGAATGTTCTATATAAATCAAAAATAAAAAAATTAATAAACTTTTAATATAAATCTATAGTAAAATGGTGTTCGACAAAATATGCATATAACATTTTTCGATATTTACAGTCGAAAAAAAATCTTTTACGTGCGCACGATAAATTAACCAAATTATTTATGTTTGAAATATCGCTACATTTATAATTTGCAGATATATTCAGGTAAAAGCACATACTGGAAAAATTGAGGTATTCTGAATTTTGATGCTCCACATGTTAATCGACGAACCTCTTTTCCATCGATCAGCGACGGCACGTGATATCTGAAGAAACAATGCAAAACTTTTTTATAAAGTTGTAAAGATTTTTAGAAGGTGTAAATATGAAAGTGGAATTTATTGTATATTTTTCAAAATATATCTCTTTAAACAGCGTATATGTAAAACGTATATGTAAAACGTACAATGTGATTTGCACTACTATTTCAATAAATTTTTCGATTTTCTGCAATTTAAATTTCAAAGCTGTCTATAATTATCTATAGTTGTCGGAGAAAAGAAAATTTAAAGGAAATATTTATAATGTTCGAATGCTTTAAAAGTGTGTCTCTCAAAAATTAAATTGCACATATATTAAAATGTAAGTCATATGAATCGTACGACAAATTGCAATCGAACGATGAAAAACATTATATCTTCGAAAATATGTGATTCAATATAGAATTAATTAAAAAATTGAACGTTTATAACGTACAGTTGTCGCTTTCGTATTAAGTATGATTTGAAACTGCTACTGTCTGATCCATTCTGACGAAGACTTTTGATATTGTATCCGCATTTGCAGTTTCTTATTCTGATAGAACAGATAATTATTGTTAGTTAATCAAAAGAAACTCAATCTTTTATACTGGTCCACTGCAAAGTAAATTTCATTATACATACGTACATAAACGTAAACAATATTTAATGTTTATTTGCGGATACGTCCGGGGGATAAGACATATAATATTGTACATAAAATACAGACCGATAAAGTTCGTATTAGCAGAATCAAAACAATCATGCACGCTATAACGTCCTAGTCAAATTATTGTCACAAGTGTCCTTTAACAATACGTATCTGTGCGAATTCTTGATTCAGAGAAGCAAAATCGAAACACATTTAGATAAAATCTACAAGTAAAAGAGGTGAAAAGGAAGATCAAGAGATATATACTAAGGAAAAAATAAACGGTTACGTACAAATAAAATACAGATTAAGGAGAACCCTGCCGAAAAGGTAACTTATGCGGAAATTATATTTGATATAATTTTGTCATTCTATTCAAAGTAATAATATCTTTTATACTTTTTGACTATAATTATAATGAAAATAGTAAAGTGAAAAATATGCTTCGATTAGGTGCTATGAAAATAATAATACATGGAATTATCACACGAAATAACAATAATCTGTGTAATATTTCGTAATTTTGGAAATTGACATTAAATTTTGCAGTAAAGTTTGTAAAAAAATCAGAAGAAAGCTGATCAAAGAAAGAACTGTAAGTAGATTTCAAAAAATATTCTAAAATTATTAGAAAAAATAAGCAAGCAAGTAGATCAACGACATTTCTTTTATCTTATAAGTTTTAAATTTTTAAAAATATATCTGACATTGTCGTGTCTATGTGTGTGTCTGAATTTATACATACACACGCAAAAAGGAGAATATTGGGTACATCTACTGATTTGAAAGTGCACTTGTTTAATCACTATTACAATACATTTGTACATTGCGCACAAACATTCGGCTCTTATAGCCCGTTTATTTCTAAGTACATACAACACATTTAACTATTTAAAATAATAAAACTAAATTTTTCTTCATGCCCTCACTTATGTGCTTATACATTACTTCCTCTTAACAAATATAAAATTATAAATAAGTAAATAAGAACGTAGATATTTGAGAATCGCCAGACAGAATTTAAAAAACGTAAAAATCTTCTCTCGACCGTACTGGCAAATATTATTTATTCAATCACAACGTTTCGACCCTTCTTTGAGTCTTTATCAAGTGATTTGTAAAATTAAAAATAAAATTATAATTCTAAGATGTCAAGAACGAACATATTGGAGTCTCCAATAACTCGTCTAAGAGTCTTGACGTGTTGTCAAACCGACACTATGTTCGTTCTTGACATCTTAGAATTATAATTTTATTTTTAATTTTACAAATCACTTGATAAGGACTCAAAAAAGGGTCAAAACGTTGTGATTGAATAAATAATATTTGCCAGTACGGTCGAAAGAAGATTTTTACCTTTTATAAATAAGTAATTTTTATTCACTATATCGTGAACTCTTTTTCCTTACAATTATTTTACAAAAAATCTGCTTTAGCAATATATATATATATATGTAACTGCTTTTACAGTATATTAATTAAGACTAATATTTTTATTAAATTAATTTTACGTGTAAAATATAAATATTATTTTTAGAAAGTTATTATAAATGTATAATAGTGAATGCAATATTTATCAAATAATGGAAAGTAAACGGTAAATTAAATCTTTCTAAAAAATATGAAATTTTATCTTGCACAATAAAATCTTTCTCTTTGTTCAGTTTTTAATAATAATTTTTATTTAATAATAACTGATAGATTACCGTAAATTAATATAATAAAAATTTGTAGCATAAAGATAGTTTGATAACAAATGTGTGGTTAATTTTTATTCTTTAGATTAAGGAATCAGATTAAGCACGATTAAACAACCGAATCTCTTACATATATTGGAAACAATCAATTTTAACACATAAATACATTTCTCAAAATGCGTTCGTCGGATGAATTAGAAAGTGACCAGCAGAATAATGAAAATACAGAAGACGAATGTGCCGATTTTTATACTCAGACGAAAAAATCAAACAATAACAAGCAGAAAGACGATGAAACGGAGGACGAAGCTTCCGATTCTTCTATGCAGACGAGCACCAGCAATAAAGGGGAGTACATTCAGAGGAAACGTAAGCTGAGCGAATCTAGTGCGGATCTCGAAGAGAATGTCGAACAATCCAGAATTGTAAGTATCGCATCCGACGATGATACATGGGCTTGCGAAATCTGTAAACAAATTTTTGTTTACAGGTAAGCAGTGAACGTATATATCTACGTAAAGTCAATGAGGGGGATTTCGTTTGTCACATATGTACTAGAAGATTTAAAACAAATGTTAGGCTGGAGATACATCTGCGTCGCCATAACAAAGATCGGGTGTACCTTTGTGACAAGTGTGCTAAAACATTCACAACTAACGAATATTTGCAAATGCACATGAGAGAGATGCATGGGAACAATACCAGGTATCCATGCGAGATTTGTAATAAGACATTTAGCCAGAAAAAGTCGTTGAATAACCACATGTTGACGCACACGGACTACAAGGCAATTTGTCCCGAATGTAACAAGACTTTCAAATATAGAGCTACTATGCTTAGGCATTACAAGAATGCACATTCCACAAAGCCATATCTGCGCCAAAATTTTGAGGTAGATATTGAGGTTTCTAGTTATGGGTCTGCAAGGACCCGGGGGTTTTTGCCAGGATCAGGTCGAGTCGAGCGTACACTTGAACCTTACTCGACGGGAATAAGCGGTCCGCAATCATATATGTTTAATGATTCCGTACAGGAGTTGATGCGAAAAGAATATGATAAATCCCGCAAGTGTGAACTATGCGAGAAATATTTCAGCACGAAAGATTCTTTAAAGAAACACTACCGTACTGTGCATTCCACAGAAAAGCCACATTTGTGTCAGCATTGCGGCGCGAGCTTTAGACTAAAAGGAGAACTCGATAATCACGAACAATATTGCAAAGACTTGCAAACATCAACAAGTCGAAAAGCACACTTACGCGACTGTGAAGATAACAATGGTAAAAGTAAAGGTAAGGGTAAAGACGATGGAAACTCCGAGAAAATGTCTTACAAGTGTGAATGCGGCTGTAGCTTCAAGACTCAAAATCAGCTCGACAATCACCGTAGCTCATCTCCCTACGCTACATGCCATCCAGATAATACTGATTCCGATTGAATTTCGTATAATTAAAATATTTTTCAATGTCTGAAACTCATAAATTATTGTTCTATTAATAATTTTCTATAGTTACATGATACAATTGAAATTAAATATGAATATATGTACACGAACATAATAGTTGTTTTTTATTTACTTAAAAACTCAGATAAATCTCACATCTGTCTTTTTTTACATTCACGTTCAAGAAAGACAGAAATGAGATTTATCTGAGTTTTGATGTAAATGCAAAGCAACTAATAATTCTAAATTATTAAACAAAAGGTTATGTGTAAAGTTTGTATAAGGAATTTTTACATTTATATTTTCAATTAGAACCTTCTCTCAAAAATTGTCTGCGAAATCGATGATGTTCGTAATACACATAATGACGTTTTTATGTACTAATAATATATGTATAACAAAATTATGACGGAAGGTTCAATGACAAAAGTTTATTAACAACTTGAAGAGTGTAGAGTGTGATTATAGAGACACGACATAAAATATGAAATCGTTGGACATGTGTGCTAGCAGTACAGCATCAATGAGAATTGATATTTTAATTAATATTCAAATTTCATTTATTCATTTATATTAATACTAAGTTCTTTTTTATTTCGTAGTTAATTTGTGTTAGAAAAAAAATTATGCAAATCCAGGACGTGCGATATTTCAATGCAAATTATTTCTTTATTATTCACATATTTGCTAATAGATAATAAAATAATAATTATTGTATATATGAAACACAACATGAAAGAAACAATCTATTGCAGTAATGTACAAAAAATATAATAAAAATCTTTCCTCAATGGTAAAAGTCGACCAAACTGGCAATCATTTATTATAAATATTAGTTAAAATACAACGTTTCGGCTGTCATTGCAGCCCTTTTCAAGTAAATCTATAAAAAGTTACATAAAAATAATTATTTCATCGCAACAAATAATTATAAATTTATATACAAAAATATGTTACATACCAAACGTAAATTCATAATAAATTAATACAGTAAATCAAATTCACTGCATACCACCGACAATATTCACCATTGTTTTAATGAACAATGTAAAATTGACAGAAGTAAGCAAGAAATAAATAGATATAGTCACTACGCGTTAAGAAAATCGAGACAAAACTAATGTGTCTTTCGCAATCTAAAACCTCATAACAAAGTCAAATAAATAAATAAATAGGTAAAAATAAAAATAATTTAAATAGCGTCAAGAACACGATCATAAATCTCACTAAAATTCTCCGTATCTTTCTGTAAATTAATGCTTTTTACTTTGTTTTTTTATATAAAACATTTCTGCAATTTCTCTTTTTCTTGTTTGTTTTTCTTGATGCAAGATCACCGGAGAATCCCAACGAAACTCATGATCGTTGCAAGTTCGATGCAAACTAACGACTGAATGCAATGTAGTGTCTTTTTTTGATATTATTTCTATGTTCTTTGATGCGCGTTTCTAAATGTCTCTTTGTCTGTTCAATATACGTAGAATCACATTTAAATAAAATGTAATAAAATTAAATAAAATGTAGCCCTCCCCTCACAAACAAGCATTTATTTTATACATGAATAAATCAGATTATTTCATATTTATGAAAAACCTCAAATTTAATCTCTGTCAGATCGTATGCAGATCATCCGAATTAAACAAATAGAGAACGAGATTCGGACAGCGGTGCATTTAGCCGCATGTGTGGTCGGTCGCGGAATTGTAAAGTATCGATGTCGGAAAATTATAACACATTTCTGGGGAAAATAATAACGAATCGTCAGAACGATGAGGGAGTCGTGCGCGATAAATCGCGACGATGACGACGACGACGCATTCACGCGCGCGCATCATCGAGCACGATAGGAAGTAATAAACGACGGTTCCCGGATGTGCACCGTCGTCGTAATTAGTTTTTCCGGTGAATTAACCGCTGCGCGTCGTGCTGCCCGGATCCGCAGAATTGCGAACGGAATTGACGTTTCTCTCGAATCGAAAAATGCGAATCGAAATCGGGCGAAGCGGACCTCTCTCGCGTTAAACGAATTAATGAATTAGTCTTGTTATTTCCACGCGTTCGACGCGACACCCGCGAGGTCCAGAGATCGCGATCTTTTTATTGATTTAACGCAGACTGATTTCGCCGTTTCTTCAGCGTTCGATCGCGTTCGACTTTGCTATCGATCGAATTGAAGACGCTTTTCAACCTCGCGTCAGTATCAGATTAGATGATTATTAAATGACGTGTATAAAATAAAAATTGTTACATATTATTTATCAATAAAAACTATTTTTTTTTTTTTTTTTTTTTTTCAGAGAAAAAGATTAATCTACTCTCTGCACGTTAATAATCGTACACGTCGAAAGAAAGGGGAAGCGTTTGAAAACCCCCTCTCCGCTCGTGGCGAAATCCTAGCTGAAAAACGTCAAACGCGGTCGCGCGGATAAATCTCCCACGCGCGTTATATTTGCAAGGCCGGAAATTCTCGGGGGTCGAAATTTCGACACTCGTCACGCCAATTACAAACAGTTTAAGCCACGCGCGCGTATACGATCGCGTTACAGCCGACCCGTACTCGGGGCGATATTTCTGTTTATCGTAAACAAACAGTCGTGTCCCTCGCCATTTGTTTCGCGCGATCGCGAAACGCTCAAATCTCGTAATCCGCGTCCGCGTTAAATTTGCCGAATGACGAGGAAATAAAAAAAATAAAAAAAGAGAGAGAGAGAAAGAGCATCCTCCGATGCGCTCTCGGATATTGTGTGAACGCACCCTCTGTTTGTGTATATGTGTGTGTGTGTGTGTGTGTGTGTGTGTGTGTATAGATAACGTATACGCGTCTCTCTTTGTCTACGAAATCCGCGCGTTGACGTGCGGGTGGCGTTTATTTGCAGGCAGAGTCGCTCGCGATGCAGTTTCCTCGCGCGGCCGTATGCGTTCGTGCATATGTATGTATATATATATATATATATATATATGCGCACGATGCGCACCGGTGTTCGCCGATGAACAAACTCGCATATACGCAAGGTGTGTGTTGTCTCCCGTTTGTATTGCGTGTCCTTTCAATCGCGGAATCTTTTGACAAATTTATGAAATCGATTTCCGGATATAGCGGATATTTGATACAGTGGGCTTCTTTTTTTAGATATAAATTTTTGATATTAAATATCGACGGGAAAGAGAAAGTCGCGTAGCCGTGGAATTAAATTTCCGAAATCGCGAGAGCTTCTACTTTCGTTCCATTCGCATTTTCCTCGCGCGAGATGTTTGTATAGAATAAAATAAAAACTGCGAAAAGGAGGGTAAGAAAGAGAGGGAGAGATACCGAGTAAAGAAAAATATATCTTGAATAAATCCGAGGAATTTCAATACGGTTTTAAGAACGCAGATATCGCAGCGGAACTTTGCAGAGAAACAGAGAAACGCGCAGCTTATGGAACGCGTTTTGATGAAGGTTTAGGCACACATAAATGATATCTTTGAGAAAAAGCGTATATCCGGCGTATGAGAGGGAGACGCATTCTCGTTTTGTCGGCTGTTGCATAAGCTCGCGATCTACGCGTATATACCTTGTGCATCTATGTGTGTACGAAACGTATTTCCCGATTGAACCTCTCTCTATGGCGGAACTGCAACGCCGTCGGGCTAATCGACGCGCATTGCCGAACGCCAACACGGTTTTCACGTGCGACTGCAGCTGGATACATCTCGCAGCGCGCGACGGTTCGTGAGGCTACAATCGAGTTTCCATCTCGTCTCATCTTGCCGTTTCGCTCGCCGATGATCCGTGCAGCTGCGGATCGTTCGCGGGCTTTCGCGCGGAATAATAACGATCGCGTCGTCCTTTCTCTTTCCCTCGTGTATCAACTTGCTCTCGTATCAAGATTTTGCGACTATTTTCAAATCGATGACTGAATTTTTTTTCATTTACACCGAATCGAACGATGCTTTTATCCCGAATTCACGATTAGATTTTCTGTGTTTCTGATCAAATTATTTTTTAGGAATATCTCGTAATAAATCCCTTAATGGTTTTTACTTTACAAATATAACAAAATCTTTTTTTCTCAAATTAATCAACTGTGATAAAGTAATAACTTGTCGACAGAAAACTAACAAATATGATTTTTTTTTTAATATGATGAAAAGTATGTTTGTTTAATAATCATTGTTAAATTATAAAAAAGACTAAACGTTAACTTTATTATTATGAATTCGTGCTACACCATTCATTGAAAGGTTTTCACTTGACACATTACATTTATCGCGCTTTTTTTACTACAGAAGCTTTTTATTCTTTATTATTTCGCATGAGAGAGAAAGAGATTTTTTGGATAACCAACATGTGAAAATATATCAGTTTACTAAATTTTTCCACTGCAATAAAATCGCTATTAATAGAGCCGGAAGGACATCGCGATGGTTGCAATACCCACCTACCCCCATATCGCGGCAGAATTCAACCCCCGGGGGTTTCCCCGGATGTAGTCGTTGCATTTGACAAAAATCAAGCTCGCCGCGGTTCGATATTCGGGTTTCGCCCGAGGCGGACGCGCGAAACTTGGTCGATTTTCCGCATCTTTGTTTTTGTGCAAGGAAAAAATAGCCGGACTAATTCCAACGCAACGCGCTACAAAAAAAGAAATGAAAATTGTTTCTCCCGATAAAAAAAATAAATATAGGTATATACGAAATTTGGTAAAAGAGCTTTCAGATAACGAAATTCTAATCGAGAGCCTTAATCGAAAAAAAAAAAAAAAAAAAAAAAACGCAAAATATCTTTAACAGATTGTGTAAAGTTAACTCATTTAGCATTTTTTCGTAAATTAAGAAAAACACAATAGTGAATTTTCGTTTGTTCGATTGCAAGAAATTTCGCAATATAATTACTAATGAAATATCTGTATCGAAAATTTATAGCGTTATTAAATTTATAAACGATTGTTTTTCACGTTGGAACGATAATGAATTCGAAACGTTATATCTGATTGCGTTTTTCGTCCGCAATGCGATATGAATGATGAAAATCGTTTCCCGCGGCAATCGAGACAATTAAAACGCGGCGCATTTTCGGTCGGACGGTAATCAATTACATTGCACGCGAAACAAAA